AATGGTTTTGTTATGAAAAATGAACGAGCGAGAAGCAACGGCAACACGCCTAGTTGGTTGTTCAGTAGATAAAGAATGAGTGATGGTTTTGGGGTCAAAACTATACCTTGAGAATGGTATGGAGGAGGAAAAAACTGCAAGTAGCAGAAGGTAGATACTACAAGCCCTGCAAAAGTAGAGCTCTGTATGATCATTGATTGTTATGTACAAGTTGCAAAAACGATGAGGACGATAAAGGAAAATGCACATACCGAGCAGACCTCCAGCAAACACATCCTGCCAATGGTGCCAGTAATCGTCCACTCGAGAAACGCCAACAAGAGATGCAAAAAGCAGGGGAAGAAAAACAATGCAGAGTTTTGCAATGTGACCTCCTTGGTCGAATACTTGTATCTTTCCTGATAAGTACAACGACAGGAAACCAAGACCAGCAAAAGACCCTGCATCAGGTCAAAAGTTCAACAAGAGAGTAAAGGTTAAATACCATATCCCAATATCCCGATATCAACTATTGTATCTTGCTAGAGATGTGTGAGATCCCACATCGGTTGGGAAAAACGAAGCATTCTTTAGAAGGGCTTAGGTACCTCTCCCTAGCAGATGCGTTTTAAAAATCTTGAAGGGAAGCCTGAAAGGAAAAACCCAAAGAGGACAATATCTGCTAGCGGTGGACTTGGGTCGTTACAAATGGTATCAGAGCTAGACACCAAGCGATATGTCATCGAAAAAGCTGAGTCCTGAAGGGGCTGGACACGAGACAATGTGCCACCAAGGACGCTGGGCTCCAAAGAGAGTGGATTGAGGGGTCCCACATCAATTGGAGAAAGGAACAAGTGCCAGCGAGAACGTTGGGCCCCGAAGGAGGGTGGGTTGGGAGATCCCACATCGGTCGGGGAGGAGAACGAAACATTCTTTATAAGGATGTGGAAACCACTTTCTAGCAGACGCGTTCCAAAAACCTCGAGGAAAAGCCCAAAAGGGAAAACCGAAGGATGCCTACTTTTTAAACTTGGAAAGAAGGGAAAGAGTAACATTTTGTCACTTACATGAAGTATGACCACTTGGAAAGCTCTTATGCCCTTCCTTGATAACATTCACATCACCATGACATATAACATTGCCTAATTGATCGTACACCTGAGAAATAAGAATTCAATTAGTACATCAAGCCAAACAAGTATGTATCAAAACAGACGCCAAACGCAAACCCCGCTTCTAAGCAACACACATCTTTCCCATCAGGAAAGCAACGCCAAAAGAAGTTTGGTCGAGGTCGTCCCACTGCATTTTTTATCGCATCGGTAATGACTGCTGTTATTAAAACAGAGTAAAAGAGACCTGCAGGGTATTCCAGTATACATCAGCTAGCTGCAGAAGAGTATCACCAATGGAAAATGGATATCTCATGCTAAAGTATCTCACCAAGTATGGCATGATGAAGATCGTAGATATCTCTTCTACGCCAATACACGAACAGAAAAACTGCTATTGGCAACAGCATTGCATACAACTAATCATCCACGCACCACAAACAAAAACAAAAAAGTGCATTCACATCAGTTTCCCTTCCATCCTATATCTAAAGGTTTTCATAGACAACACAGACACGAGCAAACCTACAGGCACGGCCCAGACAGGAACAGTATTATCTTTGAAGGGATATTTGAGATCACTCATCATGTCCTTCCCGACATAGCGATAAAACGGATGGGTTAAATATAGGATAACTTCAATCATCATAAGAAGTAAAAATATAAGCCAATCATGCATGTGTATCCTCGCAATGGCGACTCCATGGGACCTTAAAGTGTGCGAACAAAGCTGCCCTTCCCTCATTCCGCTGTTCTGCACGAGCATAAAAACCGAACCAAGAAAAGGACATCAGGCTCCATCTTCACCTTGCAGTGATAGCATGGTAGTACATTGCATTGTAAAACATGTTTACAGGGAAAATGAATCATGAGAAAATACCAAGATTCCCTTTTTTCAGCAGTACTAATTGTACCAAGAACAAATACATTGGAAAATAATAATAGAGATTACTCCTAGGCTCTCAACAATGGTTAAGACAATCAAAAGAGGTCGCATGTACATTCCATCCTATGGTAATTCAAAGAAATCCAGATGCACACGTATGTACCCACTTCCGTTGGAGAGGGGAATGAAGCATTTTTTATGAGGGTGTAAAAGCCTTTTCCTAGTGGACGCGTTTTAAAACCTTGAGGGAAAACCCAGGAAAAAAAAGCTCAAAGAGGACAATTTCTGCTAGTGGTGGACTTGGACTGTTACAAATAGTATCAAAGCCAAACACCGAACGGTGTGCCAACAAGGACGTTGGCCCCCAAGGGGGTGGATTGTGAGGTCCTACATCGGTTGGAGAGGGGAACAAAACATTTCTTATAAGGGTGTGGAAAACTCTCCCATAGCAATAAGTGGGTGTGTGCCCACCCTCGAATATCTTATCACAATCCGAATGAATCTCAACGGATATCAATGGGGTTTTATCTGGGAATTCCTTTCAATTTTCTTGATTGTAGTGATCTATCAGTTGGAAATTAATGCGTGGAAAGCAATCGCTAGTTTGGTGAAAAGCTGTGGGCTTGTTTGTGATACAACCAAAAGAACCCCAACAAGACCTTCGGGAGAAGAGCATTGTTAAGAACTCCAACTGAAAGCTATCTTGCAAGAGTCCCTAAGAAGAGATCTTAAAAAATATCTAAAAAGACCCTATTACCGTTGACTTGACGTTTAATCACAGTGCCTCTTCCGAAAGAATTATAGTTGTTCGTGTAGTTACCCAGAACAGAGAAAAGCTAAACCACAAAGGCTTCCATTCTAAATATAAGCCTCAGCAGCCTCTAGCATTCTTACACACATCTATTCCAACAGTCAGTGGCTGTGCTTCTGAACAATTCAAGAAAATAGGAAGACATCATTTCCCAATCTAATCAATCAGAAAACTCACGAATTGAAAAGCGTTGCAGTTTTCATAGATCCATAACCCGTCTCTACAAACAGAAACAAGACACATATTCCAAATTAACGGTAACCGACAGGCCAATCATTCATTTCGCAACTGGGAAACCTGATTACAAGAAACCCACAAACCTGAAATGCGGCGCCGAAAATCTTAAAACAACAAAGAGATCCAACAACATTCCTCGAAGGCATTATATGAAGGAAAATGAAAAGCAGGGGAAAATCCGAAACTAGAGGGCTCGTTACAGGATCTCACAAAGCAAAGCAAAGCAAAGCAAAGCAAAAATCTGAACATTCTATACCATGAGAAGAAGCCTCTGTCCTTATCAGAATCGAAGGCTTCAAAATCCGCAAGGAAAGAGGGAGGAAGAAGACAGCCGGTGGCCCCTCGAAAGACGACAATCGGGTGAAAAGTAAAGGTGGAATTGGATATGCGTGAAGATTCGAAAAGAAAAAAGAGAGACCCAGAAAGGGTCGAATGGAAATCTAGTAGAAAAAGCTGGGGGGTATCAAAAGTTTGATGAAATTTGTGAAGCTTTAGAGGGAGGGGTTGGATTTGGTGAGAGAGGAGATATTTTGTTGGCCTTCTTCAGGCCTCCCTCCTCTCACAAACTAATACCAATTACCCAAAAGCTTCTTCCAATTGATGGGACGTCCACCATTCCCACAATAATTATAGAGACTCACCCGACGTGGCCAACGTTTATGGACTTCCTCTTTTTTTCTCTTTTTCTCTTTTTGGAATTACTGTTGTAAATTATATTTTCTTTTAACTTCATTTTTTAAATTAAAACCTTAAAACTTTTAATTATATATTTAATAGCTCTATGAATGTTTTTAAAAATGTCAAATATGTCCACAGAAAATATAAAATTAAATTTTTTATTAAGTTCACGTAAATTCAAAAATCTTAGAATTAATACAAAATTAAATTGTAAAATGAGAATATAAAAATAAGTAATGGGGTATTTTGTTTAAAGAAAAACAAAGGTTGAAACCGAAGAAACCGACAAAACCAAACACACTACTGGAGACATTCAAGTCAGACAACTAACCACCCTTCCAATATATGCTATTAAATTGTCGGAAGGATGGCTTACCGAAGGCGCCTCCTCTTTGCCTCAGATGGATTTATGTATTGGTAAACTCATGATTAGTCCCTTGCCAAGGCACGACTCCCTCCCAACCATTCTCGACATCTTTGAGATAGCTACGAACATATATGGATGGACGAAAGAAAGAAAGAAACAGAAGATAGGCATAGCAGAACAGGAGAAGAATTACAACAACAAACATTCAGTCTTTACACCTATAAAACAAGCTCATCAGGAAGGCAACCTACCATAGAACAAAACAAAACAAAACAAAGAACAATTCTCACAAAGCTAAGCTGGGTGATCCAATGTTTTACTCACTCTGCTAGCTGACTTCCAAGTTATTGCTTGATTTTTATCAGCTGCAGCTGAGCCATCGCATCTGACAGAAGGTTGGTAGAGCCTTTAGTCTTAGTTTGCGACTGAGAAGGAGGAGCCAGGGGTGGCGGGCCAGGCTGAGATTTGTATATCAGGGTCCTTGCAGGATCATCCTCATTGCATTCATGTGAACCCTCCTCAACAGATGCATCGGCTGCACCATAATTACCAATGCTTACTGCCTGCTCTTGAACTTCATCAGCAACTTCAAGAGCAATCGGATTTGCTCCGAAATTTGGTGCCGAAGTCCCGTTTGCAGTATCGTGGAAGCCCCAGTGCATAGGTAGATTGGAAGGGGGCGGAACCTGTGTCTGCCCAACCGGCAAGAAGTACACAGGATACATATGGTGGTTCGGCATCGGCTGGTAATGCACAAACCGAGGCTGCTGGACTTGATAGTAAGAAGGCATTGGATACATGGCAGGAAGGCAGCTCTCCATAGGCGCGCCTGCTTGAACAAACTGCCATGGCTGCTGCTGAAAAGGGTTCAGTTGGGAAGCTGGTGCATGCCCTGAAAAGGCATTCTCAACTGAACAACAGGAGTTGGTAGGGGCAATCTCGCTGTAAAGATTACAAATTCTTATGCCTATTAGAAGACTGCAGTATCAGAGCTTAAGAAACACAAGGATCTGTGTGATTTTTTGTGGAAATTAAGGTTTAGATTCCTAATCTAACCCATTTTTTTTTTTTTTTTTTTTTTT